ACCCTTTAATTATTTAGCATATTCTCATTCATAATTTTAAGTTAGTGGCGCAAATTAACGTGGCCCCACTTCAAACCATAAATATTTTAGCTGGTAGTCTACATTCAACCACATAATTTGAGGAATAATGTCATGCGTATAAAAAAAAGCATTAAAAAATATATTTCATATGTGATAAAGCTAATTCCAAAGTAAGTCATCAGGAGTGCTTCAATGGTGAGGAATTTGATGGTTTGTATGAGATTATAAATTTGAAGCTAATGTCTTCATTATATCCAAAAAAATTAATCCCAACGGCAATCTTGACTTTGAAGCATTTCAATTTTCTAAGTTCATGACCTTAATTACATGAAATCGAAAATGTCAAGTTTTAACTGTTTTGAGTCTTTTGACTATATAAATTATGAATTTTAAGTTATTTTAGTTTTCAAATCTCCTTGATATTACATATGTTAAATTACAATAGGTAATTTATGATTGCAGATTTGTACTTATCAGCTACACGTCACAGTAAAGTAACATAAAATAGCTTACCCAAAAAAAAAAGAAGGTAACATAAAATATACTCTTAAAAAAATCAAAACGCACACACACACAAAAAAAAGAAAAAAAGAAAGAAAAAAATATGGTATAGAAATGAAGTCTAGAATCATGTCCAATTTGAAATCAAACCCATTCCTACAGTGCTCTATTCAGTTGATGTATATATCTTTGTTTATAGGGCAAACTCCACATGATGACGATTACCCTTTAAGCTCTCTGTTTCTTCCTCTTACACTCTTTCCGTCCATTCCCTCATCATTTCCTCTTTCCTTCCTTCCAATAAAAATCACACACCTCTAATCAGACAAAAACAGAGTAGTTATAAGTCCATTCGTCTCTTCCATTTCTATTATTATTTTCACCAGAAGAAACTAACAACTTCCATAACCGAGTTTTTTTCCTGTGTCCTTTGCAACCCTTTGCTGATTTTTCACTGGGACCAGATTTATGAAGACCAAACAGAGCCGTTTTTTGGAGAGGACTTAAGCATCTGCGAGTCAGTTTTTCGTTATTAGTTTTCCTAACTAATCCGGTAATTGAAAAAAAGGAAGGAAGAAGAAATTTTCACGGGTAGGTTCCATTTGGTTTTTGTTTATTATTGTTATCTTTATTATATAAGGTTGAGTCTTTTGACTTTTGGGGTCTATGTTCATGTTCAATCAGGTGCTGTATAGGTATAGCCTGAGCTGTGCCCCATTCCATACGCAATTTTTGACGCTGAGCCTGAAACCTGAAAGTATACACCTCCTTTTCCTCCTCCATTTCCCCTTCTTCTTCTTTTTTTCTCTTAGAAAAGTGATGGAAATGGCAGGAATTCCAGAATTGGTAAGAATTCCTTTTCCGGTTTTTCTCTCTTATAACTGTTCCATTGAAATCTGGGTCTTTATTCGGGTACTTCAATTTTCAGTCATTTTAGGCACTCGCAGGTTCTTTCATAATTCATAATCTTTGTGGCTCTGTGCTGTGGGTTGTTGGGTTTGGTTTTTTAGGATACGGGTTTTTCTTCCTGCGAGGCTTTGGAATCGGAGCAGAAGAACATAGACACCCAGAAAATCACAGTTTCAGATCACATAAACGCATATCAGTACTCGGCTGAGAAAACTGATAGCTTTGTGATTGATATGGATTCCTTCTCTCCCATCATCAATAAAGATAGCACCAATGCTAATTCCAGAATTACAGTGAGATCCTTTTTTTCCCCTAATTTAAATTATATTTTACTTTACGATAATTATTTTATTCTGATTTTGTTTGGCCCATCTTACAAGCAAAACTGGGTTAGTGTTATGTTCTGTTCTTGCAATTTTTTCTGTATACTTAAGTAAAATAGAAATTTTAAAATTCTAAGATTTTTTTTTTTAATGATGAGACACTAATAAATTAATCGGAATGATAGACCTTCACCATGAGTGGAGACCTTCACCATGAGTGGCGGCATTATTATAAATAGAAATGAGAGGGAAAACATACACGTTATCAACTTTCGTTAAACCTTTGCGGCCATTGGAATCGGATGTCTTTCTCAAGCATTATTTTTCTCCCACCCCCTCTTCTGTCACCCTTATCTATAAATTTAAATTATACAAACGTTGAAAATTAGAGGATAGCAATTTAAATTTAATCTAACCTTTTTTGAGTTTTAGCTTTGTGTATCTCTTACTTAACCAAACCACCCCCAATCCTCTTTCAAAGTTGCCTTGTTCAGTTCAGTTGTTCTCTTGGCTTCTATACTTTATTTTTATATTTTTAATTAGATTTTTTAAAATTATTTTTCTTAACGATATAGTTGCAGCGGAGCCTCTCTAGGAAAGGATCTCAGCGTGGGGGCGACAGGAAGGCAAATGGCAATGTCACACTACATGATAGGGATACTTTCCCTCTTACATGCTCGCCGAAAGGTACCATTGCCCTCACAAAAAAATTGCAAACTCATTCACTGTATTATTGTAATATAATATATAATAAAGTCTGTTTTGTTTTATATGGGATTTGGATCTTATTGAGTTTTTCATGTGACATGGTAATTGAAGATAAGTGTAAACAAAAATTTGTGGACAACATAGAAAACACATGAGAAGATCCAAATAGTTTTTTTTTTTCCTTATTCACATAGATCGTATGATTCGCCTACTCAGGGATTTGTTTTTCTTTCATTTTCCTGCATCTCTTTAGTTGAAGAGTAAGTTTAATATAATTATCAACAGGTGTGTTTGTTTCCATCGTGTGACAATTATGGAACTTAGGTTTATTGATATGTATATGTGGACACCGGTGACAAAAATGGTGTCATAAAATATTTCATCACCAACCTGTACCGATGTCAGGCCAAGGTGGTTGTCCCCTGATTCTTAGGCCTCCATTGCTGGATAACGATACGTGTTATTATTATAATTGTCATTATCATCGTCTCAGATCCAATGTATATAGGATTTGGAATAACATTCAAACATGATTATAGTCACACTGGGATTACGTCAATTGAAAATTATGCGGGCGGTGAAATTTATTTGGCCTGGTCCCTGGTGGTTGAATATTAGTTAGGGTGAAAACTAAAGGATACCTACTATGTGAACACGTGTACTTGAGCTCTCTGAAATAGAGTTCTGGGTCAACCATATATACAAGGCAAATTGAGTTACCAGTTTAGTACAGGACTACAGGTAGAGATAGATTATGAGATTACAGAAATATATTGATAGCTTTGGGGTCCACACCTACTTTCATTAACATAAATTTGGACAATATTGTGAACTAGTAGACTCTTATATTCATATTGATATGGGTTTCATTGAACTGCAGCTGCTCTTGTAGGGTCCAGCACGCCTGAAAAGTCATCGGTGGTGGCGGTAGGGTCCACGCATCATCCCACAAACCCACAGGTCCATCATCAGATTACTATCACGGCCAGTAACATCTGTACCACCCCCACCGAAAGCAAATGTTTAACTCGGAGAAGTAGTTTCAGAAGACCTTCTTCATGGCTCCTTGACCCCAAAAGAGTTCTTCTTTTCTTTGCTAGCTTGTAAGATTCAGCTTTCAGCTCCATTACTTGCCTACTGCTTTTAACTTGTCTTCAGTCCTTCACGCTATGTCATGTGCCTTAATTTCTCTGTTCTGAAACAGGTCAAGCTTGGGAACAATGTTGCTGATATACTTCACTCTTACTATCAGCAAGCAAAATGCAGATTAATATGGGGGTGACTGGCAACAGTGACTGATGCCACCCTCCACTTATACAATGCGATAATGGGACGTGTAGAACATAAGTTAGAATCCCAGAAATGGAGCAAATTTCATAAACAAGAAATTGGAAGCAGACAAAATTGCAGAAGTTGCAAAAGCTAACTAAAACTTCCCCCACCTTGACGTCAGAAACAGTTACCTCTTCGGGAGCTACAAGAGGAAAATACAATGACATACTGCACTGCCATACAGGGGGAAGGAATATTTCTTTTATACAAATGGAAGACAATAAAGATCACGCGGGAGAGAGTGCTCTTTAGTGTAATTGATGTGTTGTTTCAGGGCATTATGGAGTTGGAGGATCAGAAAGTCACATTTTTTCTCTTTCTACTCCTTAGTGCTTATTTTCCTCATTATCCTCCCTTATATTTATCCGTTCTGTTTTGCTCGTACATGCAATCCTAGTAGCAAGTGAACCTCTTTTAATGTGTTTAACTTTAATATGAACAGAAGGAAAACACGGAGGAGAAAGGAAACCAATACCATGAGAGCTACGTACAAGCTACAAAAGTACTTGAGTGGTAGTAGGCACACAAAGCACGCATGCTCAAAGACTTTTTCCTTTCTGAAAGAAACTCAAATCCACGAGTGCTTTTTCCCCGGACAAAGAATGTTTATATATATTGAAAAACCATTCGGAATAAACTAGGTGTGTGCAAGAATTAGGTTAATTTGGCAAATTTCGTATATTGTGCACTTTGGTCCAAATAACAAGAAGCAAATTTCCTACACATTATGATTGATGTTTGACACTCGCAGAAGTTAAACAGCCATGCGAGTTTCCGATTGCGGGCTTAAGGACTACCTCCAATTAACGTAAGCTTTAATTTTGTCCTCAAACATAATAAGAAATCAAGTTCAATCCTGTAGGGGATGAGCACACACCTAGAAGGTAGCGGCAAAACTTGTAATCCATAAGTCCCAGTTAGGTGAACAAAATATCAGCAACTAAACCTACAAAATTTGTGACAGTGATTGAACTAGTCAATGGGAAAGAAAAACAAAGAAACACTTCTCCGTCCCCCTGCTCATGTCTTTTGTGCCTATAGGCATGTTTGGTGCACAAACAATTTTACATAAATACGTTAAATGCCTATATTTATAATGCTACTAGCATAGCATTATAGATATATATATATATATATATATATATATATATATATATATATATATATATATGTATAGGTTGCTTGGAATTTAAGATTTCAACAATTTTAGCATGTCACGTATTTTTCCAACAAGTGTTTGCAACCAACACAGCATCAATATTCAATCCCATCAGATATTTGGTAAGAAAATAGACGATGTACATACCAATAAACAATGACGCCATAACAGTAAGAATTACTGGGATCCGAAAAGATTACTAGAGTCAAATAGGAGAGCAATAAAAAAAGGTTTCCTAGGACACATTTTCTATACCTTGAAAGTTATGATGTGTTGTATCACTTTGAATACCAAACCACGGAGGAATACTTCACTAGTTTGGCGGAAACAGAGCTTCCTTTCCCTTGAAGGAAAGAAAAAAACTTTTCTACTTATTCATTGTACTCCATGAGAATTTTCACAAAAGAGAAGTCACCAGCACCCACCAAATCTATTGATAACAGTTTTCCAGTAGATAAGTAGGTTCACCAGAGCAAAACACCTTTTCCGCAGCCGGGCCTAGTAAGATACTGTTCAACTTTTGTTGTGGTAGATTAACAAGCATTATTCTTTCTTAGAATCGAATTACTTATAATACAAGTTTTGGAATTGATAGTACCATTTCACCATGTTACATAGCGTTAATGATATATGACATAAAAAAAAGGCATACCTGTTTACTAAAATATACCTCAACAAGTAGTGGTATAAGAAAGTAAGCCGTCTGCTCATGATTATAATTTATGAGTAGTCCGCGAACTCTGCATCGTATTAGTATAAAATTTTGATGCTTTACAATCTGTAGTTCAACAAGAGAAAAAGTTGTCATCCCTAATAGCGTTTTGAGATCCCTGGCATCATGCACTTATGCTTCCGGTCATGGTACAGCCTCAATACAACTGCTGCTGTTTCTTCTACCGCTTTTGCAGTCACATCTGTAATTAGATAATAAATTAATACTTCATTAGCATTAATTTGAAGCTAATAGTTTCCAATTCACTTTCATGAATTAATATAAATCAAAATTTGCATTTTTTTGAAAAGTGACAGAAATGTGAATTTGGGTAGAATTTAAACTTTGTTACCAATGACTGGCCAGACAGGGTTCTGAGCAAAGAGCCTTCCCGCAAATTCAAGTTCCTGTCTAACATGATCCATCTCTGCGTAATTACTCATTGCATCCGAACTCAATCCCAAAGTTTTAGCCCTTGCTTTCCTAATGTTGTGCAAGACAACAGGATTTATAATCAAGCCAAAAACCTTCTTTGGATCAACCTGAAAAAGAGTCCTTGGCATTTCCACACCCATGACAATGGGTACATTGGCGACCTTGTAACCCTTCTGAGCCAGATAAATAGACAAGGGGGTCTTCCCAGTGCGGGAAACCCCAGTGAGAACAATGTCAGCCTTGGCCAGATTATGGGGCGATGCACCATCATCTTGCTTGATTGTAAATTCAACAGCTTCAATCCTACGAAAGTAATCATCAGAGAGGGGAAGACCAGAAGCCCCACGAGGAAGACCAGAAGGAGAGACACCCAAATGAGAAGAAATGGCCTCCGTAATGGGTCCCAATACGTCAGTGGAAGGCACACCCCATAACTTGCATGCCTGCTTAGCAGATGAAGCCAATGAAGTATCAGCTAAAGTATACACAAGCAAAGCACCTTCCTTCGCTGCTTGCTTTATGATCTCCAATAACTTCTCTGCATCATCAATCTGATCAACAAAATTACCATAAATAAATTATAACAAAGTTTATTTTCTTTTCTTTTCTTTTCTTTTCTTTTATATATATATATGAAAAAGGGATATTTTACTATATTTCCTTACCGCAGAAAACAAATGGGTACTAACGGGGCACCCATGGTCGACCAAGCAGTAATCGAACTGACCCAAAGCGGCGTTAACGCAGTGCTCGGCGGTCCAACCGGTTCCGTCGGAGACTATATAGATGGACTTGACAGCTGCGCCGTCCAAACTGACGGCGTCGTCTGGGTCGACCGGGAGAGAAAGTGTAGGTGGAGGGTGGTTGGGTTCAGGCGTCTGGGTTCGGAGACTCGACCGGTCCAATTTGCGACCGTAGCGTACGGCCCGAGCCCTGGACCACCGGTTCAGCTGTGGACTGACCTTGGGTCTACCTGAAACTGCTTTCGATCTGGTTTGGTTGTTGTCGGTGCAAGCTCCGATTTGGGGAACGGAATGGATGTTTGGACATAACTGCGAAATTGGCATGGCTAGCTACCAGCTTCAGAATTTCTCTCTTCTCTTGGCCACAACGGGAAGATTACAAATGAAATGAAACAAAACCAACAATATTTTCGCGACAAAGACGATTATTGAGTTCAATTTGTCATTTAGTATTTTACTTTGATTAATTGACCACATGTTATCAAAACAATTCATTGATTTATTTTTATAATTAATAATAATAATCATATATCAATATTTCTATCAACTTGTTACTTCTTAAAATTAATCCTCTTTTTTTTTTTTTTGTAAATAAATTAAATTAATCCTCTTTAATCTTTGAAGCATTGTATAGCTTGATTCGCTTTGTCGTTAGAAGTTAGAACAAGGATGAGAAGAAAACTTGTGGGACTTCGCATTCTTTGATGATGACGAGGGTCTAGCGCACGAATTTGAGATGTCGTAGTATTAGCTACTGTTAAGAAGAAGAAAAAATCTATATAGGATAAATAACATAATGTCAGATATTATTGTAAATGGACTAAGAAGGCTAGAATAACTTAACTGCAAGAATATTCTTGTAAGTGAACTAAGCCGAATTACCAAAATTAGAAAATTATTGTCAGGAAGTGAGATTTGTGAGCCGTGAACCAAAAGGGAGTACTGCATAAGACCGACTATGAAAAAAAGTTTAATGACTTTGGGCTTGTTTTGGGCCAAATCATATGCTAATTTATTTTTAAATTAATTTATTTAAGTTAAAAAAAGTCATAACTCATACCAGTCCTCGGAGTAAAAGACAGAATTTGAATTAATTTATTTTAAATAAAAAATGACAGCTTTTTAAAAAAAAGAATAATTATACTTTTAATAGAAACTATCACTCCTCATGCACCAAAATAAAAAATGCACTCCTTAATTATGTATTGTCCATTAATTATCATTGATTTGAATAATAAGAAATTTGGGTCAAAAAGAGCTCAAGTTGGATTAAATAGACGAACTTATAGAGGAGGAGGGGGGAGGATATGTATTCCCTTGTCTACTAGGACTGGGAAGGTGCCATCCAGGCCGATTTCAAACTCTTCATGTTCGAACCCTAGGAACAGTATACACTAATAAAACACTAGAACATTTTTGAGACAGGATACTTTGACACCGGTGTCAAAGAAAAAGTTTGACACCTCATCTGAGAGCCGTTAGATTAAAAAAGATCAACGATTCTGATTTGTAAGCATGTGACACCATTGTTTTTTTTAATCTAACGGCTCTCAGATGAGGTGTCAAACTTTTTTTGTTGACACCGGTGTCAAAGGATCCTGCCTCAACATTTTTTATTTTTTATTGTTATGTTCACAAATTTTTTATTTTTTTAATTATATCATAGGGGCAAGGCCCAACAGAAAACTACAAAGCAACAGAATCAGAGTCCAAAAACAGATTCAGCTCCTAAGGAGCATCAGACAACAAAATGAACTCCTCACTTGCAGAAAAGGCTAGATTCGCAAGAAGATTTGCGCAAGCATTGCTATCCCTTCTAACATGTAAGAACATGACATGCCAATTCTTGTTACACCAGCTCCTAATGTTCTTCACAAGCTGGTGGTGACAGCAATCATCAGAAACACTAACAATAGCTTGAATAGCTAGACCACAGTCACTTTCAACCATTAATTGATTCACTTTTCTATCCCATGCAACTCAAATCCCAATATAGATAAGCCCAAAGTTCAGCAATGAGAGGGGAGTAAATACCAATATTATACATAAATCCAGAAATCCAAGTACATTGCTCATCTCTGAAAATAGATGATATTTGGCGGTCCGAGCGCATAAGAGATTAGGTGGGATAGAAGAGAGAGAATGAAAGAGAGATTGAGGAGAGAGAAGATAGAAAAAAAAATCAATGTGTCACTTCCTTAACGAAAGGACCAGGAGCATGTTAAAATTTTCTCTCTGAAAAGACCTCCACTCGCTTCTCTCGACGGATTTTAAACATAGAGTAAATACCCCTTTTCGTCCCTATCAATTTTCACGAGACACATTTTAGTCCCGAACAATAAAAAATGCTCATTTTAGTCTCTAATATTTGAAAAAATGGCCACGTTCGTCCTTCCATTAGTTGGCATCTGACGGCCCAACTAACGGAGCACACATGGACCGTTACTTTGCTGAGTCACCGTTAAATATGCCAGCGTGGAAGTAATACGACGTCGTTTTATGTCTTCTTGGAGTTTTGGACAACTGACCCTAGCATCGAAGGCCCTATTTGGTCCCTGACAAATTTATCGAGGCCATATTTAGTCCTTAACACCACAAACCTTTCTAATCTTTAGACACTATCACATGTTGCTTTTTTGTTTTTTCCGTCTCATGGTTTGATATCAGAATCATCCCAGGGATCTTTCAGATCAGTTGAGACCAAAGAATCAATGTCCTCCCAATTCCAATAGTTTGAAGTTTCCATGCCAGCACTTGTTGTTGGTATCTCCCATGGCTCTGTGTTACTGCCACTTGTGCTGGGCATTATGTTGTTGATGGTTGGTTCCTCCATTGTTTTAAACTCCTCCCCATAGTTATAAACATTGGAGGATCGCAGAGAAGTTGTACTGCACAAGGGTTTGTGTCAAAAGAGCTTGTGGTTGAGAAGGGAAAGTGTAGGCTTTAGTTTTGAGGAAGAGGCAAAGTTGAACTCAGAAAGATGCTATTACCAATACCAAAATCTTTGCTTTCTAAGTCTCCAGTATTCATCAGATTCTGTTGTAGCAGCAAAGATGATGAACAAATCAAAGCTTGAACTTGATAGAATGAGGAAGGGATGCTTTTCTGATTACTCACTGCAAGAGGAGTTGGATTCATTGTCATGTGGCTACTTGACCAGCCACCCATGTTGCCAATTGAGGTGGAGACAGTGGTGGTGCAAGTAGAGGAGGTGGTGGCTTTGGTGGTGGAGAAAGATGTTGGGGTGGTTGATTTTTTTACCCTCTTATTCTTTCTACCACCAGCAGCAGGAACATTGCGTAAAGTTCCGCCTTTAATCCAGTGCCTCTTACAAGCTCTGCAGAAATGGCGAGGCTGAGACTTGTTGTCGTAACAAATTTTGGTGTTTGTAGAGTCACATCTTGGGCAGTTCAAAGACTCTGATTGCTGAGTTTGTTGCTGTTGTTTCCTTATCAGATGAGGCTTTGGTAGCTCCAAGTTTATCGAAGGCCCTATTTATGGGTGTAGATTCAATATAAAAATATAGCACTAAGCACAAAAGTGCTGATATAAATAGAGCCTCATTGAGGTCATGTTTGTCATAGAGAAAGGTTTGTCTAAATAGGGCCTCGATAAATTTGTAAGAGACTAATTAGGGCCTCGATAAATTTGTCATGAACCAAATAGGGTCTTTGATGCTAGGGTCAATTGTCCAAAACTCCAAGAAGACATAAAATAACGTCGTATTACTTCCACGCTGGCATACTTAACGGTGACTCAGCAAAGTAACGGTCCACGTGTGCTCCGTTAGTTGGGCTGTCAGATGCCAACTAACGGAAGGACGAACGTGACCCTTTTTTTTCAAATATTAGGGACTAAAATGAGCATTTTTTATTGTTCGGGACTAAATGTGCCTCGTGAAAATTGCCAAGGATGAAAAGGGATATTTACTCTTAAACATAAGAAACATAACAAGAATAATGTAATATTTTATTATTGATAAAAATAGATGAACTAGTGTCGCTAAAGTTAAAACAAAAAATGAAACCCAAAAATTGTTAATACAGTGACAACCTAATTAGATACCAGAAATTGAAGTGTCTAAAGATATATAGTAAATGAGTTTTATAATTCACAAGTTATACGAGAATTAAAATCTTATATTATAGAGACAAAAAGTATGTGAGACTCGTAGGTGTAGGACCTATGTTAGTATAAAAATTAAAGGATGCATAAGAAGATTTTTTATTTTTTTTTAGTACATAATATAGGAAGATTTTAATTCTCATATTGAATTAGAATTATAAAACCCATACTAAATTCAATTTTTGAGAATTGCAAAATCAAGAGGATGGTGGAGATCCAAAAAAGAACTTCGGAGGTTAGTTGACCTGCCCAAGTACTATATACTCACGATATTTTTGCACACTATGTACTGCCTTCACAATTTTTTTATTTTTTATAACAGTAGTAAACTAAAAACAACTACAACTACACTACAGAACTAAACTCCCCCTAAATCACCCTGAACAAAAGGCCTGCATTTCAGAGGAGGATTTATCAATAATTTTAAATCTCAGCAACGCTTAAAAAACATGAGCGGAACCGATCTGTCACTTAATTATTCCTCTTTGTAGCAGTGTGAGATTCAAACCCTGCAGGGTCTCCTAAATAACTGCTGAATGTGATTAAGCAGGGGATACAATAGGTGACTCTTTTGACATTGATTTCTCGTGAAATCTCGAACTGACCTGGAGTCCCCTTTTAGTTAAATAAGACGAAACCCTATATTTCATTCTAGCTCAAAGCCTAAACAAGGTCTCCAAAGTTCAGCCATAATTAAGATTATTGTATGAGAAATATAATTATCATGTTACATGACACAAGTTACATCATATTATAGAGATAAAGTTGATGGGATCCCTGTTTAATTTGATTTTTATTTTTTATTTAAACAGTGGACCCGATTAACTTTATCTCTATAACATGATGTAACTTATATTATGTAACATGACCAAAGACAATCCCTTATTTTATATAGATTTGATGTTATAATATTAATTTGTATAAAATCAATAACTTTAAGCCCGGCTTAGTGCATATTTTTTTATATGAGTAAAAGTTATAAAAAAAATTTACAATTTATCTTAAAATAATCATGTCCTGGGTTCAATTATGAGGTTTCCCTGTTATATAATTCTACTATAAATCCCTAATGAGGTTAGTAATTTCCTCTGAACTTAAAAGGAATACATATTACCCTAATCTAAATTTAATGCTGAATATTTTATCATTATCATAATCAAAATTTAGAATATTTTTTTTATTTACCTCATTTTTTTATGCGTTAAAAATTATACTCATTCAATTATAATTTTTCTTTATATCATAGTCTATTCTTATCCTTTTCTATCTCAT